TTTATTTGTTCATAATTTTCAAAATATTTAGAACGTTTACAAATGTTTAGATAAAAAGATTTACTGTTGAAAATGTCAATTCTAACGAGGCATCGGTCAAAGTTACGTTCGCTAAAATTCTCTGCTACTGAATTCGTTCTAAAATCATTTACATTGTTTAAAAAAAGAAGATTGGCTTTCAGTTAAAAGTGAGAAAATGAAACGTAACAGAAATGTCTCGATACAATAAAATACACAAAAAGAAGAAGATTTTTAAGAACAGGATTTGATATATTTTCAATTTATTTACCCGGCACATGTGCAAACGCGACACGTGATCAGAGTCCTTGCTTAAAAAATCTTGTTCCGTGACACTTTTTACACTAATGTGTTGAGAGCGTTTTAATTTTCCGGCTGTTTTCCTGTACACCCTCGACAACAGATCCGGCCTGCCGGTACGAAAATTTTCGTGCAAGAATTCGTGAACGTCCGGATTATGGGAATTACAGATCGGGTCTCGATTATGCGACGTCACCTTTCGAAAACCGTACAAATTCAGCTGTCTGATAAAACTCGTGATGTTCTTCGTTTTGAAGATGGAATTGCTCGCATCGAGATATTGTTCTTGGAATTTTTTATAATCGAGAAGAATTGTGTTGCCATTCACACTCCATTGAATGGCGCCGCTCTTGCATTCATTTACGATGTGCCAAAGCTTCTGCGGGAATCGCAAGGACAAAAATATACAATCGTCGTACATGCTCGACTTAATACTAGCTTTTTTTTTCGTGTCAATAGACCATAGGTCCAAAATTAACACTAGAAGCTTCTCCCTCTTCTCTTTAATCCGATCGTACATCTTTTGCGAACAAAAAACCATCGTATCGCAGCAACAATATTCCTTCTTCGGACATCGCCGTAACGTCGAATTGTTTTAACCTTTTGGCGCGAGCTTAGAACTTGCGAAAATATATACCGAAGCTTTGTTTTTCAACAAATTTTGCACGTATTTCTTAGCGAACTCACTTTATCACGAAATTTATAATTCTGTGAAAGTGTTTAAATAAATCTAACGAAATAAAGATAAACTCATTGATGAAGCGGAGCATTTGCGAATACCTTCGAATTTCTGGTAAAATGAAAATGTAAATTGTCAAAAGCGATATAAAAGTTCTGATTGCAAGTAAGCAGTAGTTAATGAATTTACGTATCCTATGATTATCTTACTTTTTTATTAATTCAACATTTATAAATATTTCTGTGAACATGATTTTAATATTTATTTAAGGAAAAACGTTATACAAGTATGTTTCTCATTATTGGTACGTGTAGAAAGGTGGTAAAAGGTTTTCTTATGATATATAGAAAATATTAATCTGAAACTTTAAACGTGATTCTTCTTAAACCGTATTTCTCCAACTGATAAACACGATATCTCTTAAATTGGTATTCTCGAAATACCAATCTTCAAAATAAAGCATTTCTCTTTTAACATATTAAAATACGTGCAAACTCGAAGTCACCACGACTTCACACCAGCGACAATCCTGCGCCACAAGTCTCGAACATACCGCTTGTTCCAAGCGCTAGACGCAACAATACCTTTCCATTTTCCTAATTTTGCAAATTAATTGAGAGTAGTTTTCTACATTGCTATCGATGCTTAAAAACACTAATATCGATAAAAATAATCTATATTAAAACGATGCGGAAATTCCCAATTTTCTGTTGGATACTCGTTTGTATTATTTTAAGCAACGTCGATATTTTAATGTTAACAAAAAGGAAAAGAAAATTTAGATGTACATAGTAAATGTGTATTAGAAAATTTAATAGAATTATGATCGAATACAATGACTCGTACACTATGAACAACAATATATTTAAAACGTCTCTCGTTCGTGCTGTTTCACACGGTCCAACATCTTTTATTACAAGGCAAAAGTACGTTGAAGGGAAGTGGAGTTAAAAAAGAAATCATATACATGTAAGAACGCAATTATCATAATTAATCTTAATCGTAGTTACTAATAAATTATTAACGGTATTTTACATTTCCTTAACATTATAAAGTATTAATACTATTTCCTGGACCATGAAAGCTCGATAAATCGAACGTTCACTTTTTCCCTGATATCATTGACATTTCTTGATTATAATCATTTCATCATTGTCAATGTCGTAATAATGATTGTACGTGTACAAATGGGATTGTAATATTGTCCGACTAACAACTGATTTTATAATTTTAACGATAATGTTCATCGAACATACATACACTCTTTTTCAAGATACTACTTCAGATGAAAATGATCGAAGAAAAACAGGCAACTAATTGTCATTTATTATCAACAATTATATTAATGAACTATTGTTATTAAGTGTTTTTATTTTACAATAGTAATTAACGATTAACGATGAATAAATAATAAGATAATTAATCGTTATGTATTAATTATTAAACAGACAAATATTGTATGTATTCTTGTTTTATGTATATATCTAAAATTTCAAGTTTCTTCTTTGTATTTTAATTCGTAAGTGAAGATAACATTTATCTCTGTAATGGAAAATTCTCTTTGTAATTTATCGCTTTCACTTATGACAATTTTTACGACAATCAGCATGTACAGTATGTATATAACTTTGAACATAGTAATTAGTTTATGTTTTTGTAGTTTAGAAATTTTCCTCATTTTATACATAGTAATGTAAGCGTAAATGTTGAAATTTTATTATTTATGTTATATTTGTTTGTTATTGCTCAAAAATTAATAAATTTTTCTATGAACTTGAAGGCAATAATATACTTAATTTAAATTGGCTAAGAAAGATGACATTTGATCAATTTTTCTGTCAAGAAATTTGTAGAACAGTAGAACTAAATTTTCTTACATCAGTCTTTCAATATGGACGTTATAAAAGATGAAATTGATCTTGAAAGGGAGACGGTAGCAGCATATTAATAAAAGAAGTCTAACGTAAATAATGTTTCCTTTTTAGAACGAGTTAGTTTAGCATAGTATTTTGTACGTATTTTGACATTTTTAATCGATTAAAGCTGTACCTTTCTACCATTGTACTATCTAATATTTACTTAAGATGTGACTAATTCTTTAGTTGCAAAGTTATTTTCTCATCAGAACAATTACTTCATATGCAATGCTTGCAAGTTATTTTTTGTAATTAGTTTTCTGCATTCTTTTTACTTTACTATTGCATCAACTACTAATTGGAGAATGGGGATGCATGTGCCTGAGTGCGTAAGAATTGGCTGTCACCGGTTTCGAATAATTACTTCACCACTTTTCGTGATCTCGGTATAAATAATAAGATCTGATATTGCTTAAAGAGTTATCCTGTCTCAATTAGACTGTAACTTTGGACTGAAGAATTAGATTATGTTTAGAACTCGTTGTTTATCAATCGTTTCGCTAATCAGGCATCTGTACAAAATGTAAAGAAAAGGAACAATCTGAATCGAGGGTATTTCAGGATTACACTTTTAGACTCTTAATAAATAGAATCGTTGTTCTGGAACTGTAATGGGAACAGTCATAAAAAAGAGCGATAACTTAGAAGAAAATTGCAACGAGTCTCAGAAACTTTTTGGCTCAGATGAACGCATGCTTAAAAATTTGATTTTGACAAAATTTGTTGTCAGTCGGACAAAGCCGGTAAAGTCTGTAAATATTCATGTGGTTTAGCTGGCGCTGGTAATAAATAACCATCAGGATCCAATACGTCCGGTGTACGAATGGTAACTGGCCCTTGAGGTGGTCTTGGTAAGGTATCTTGTTGTACAGATTTACCTTTAGCTTTTTCAAGTCTTTCTAATATTTCTGGAAACGTGATTCTGTCCTTAGGATCTGTTTTCCAACTCTCTCGCATCAGCTGGCAAACAAACGGTGGACATCCTTCAGGTGGAATAAGCATTATTCCTTGCAAAATCAACTTTACTACCTGAAATAATGTGCGATAAAACATGACAACGTGTAATCAAATTGTTAAAACTTTACCAGTATCCATTCTTTTCATGGGCAGAGTTGTCTAATGCGTAACTCATGTTTCGTCACTCTTTCTTCAATTATTGAATATAAGCTCTATTTACTCGTAAATATATCAAATGTTTCGTTTAACTGAAAACGGTGGAATATCACACGGGGGGTGAAATTATGAAAAAAATGTTCTTACAAAAGTTGTTCGATATACAGGGGGACATTAGGTGGTATAAATAATCTTTGTAAGTGTAGTTGGGGAGATATCAAAGTCAAGTTAATTTTTTTAAATATAACGCTATATTGTTGAGACTAATTCAACCAAGTGCCACATTAAGTCATTTTGTTTTATGGAAAGTTGTAAAATCGTGGAGAATTTGTATTAGTAGCACAATCAAGTAGAGTTTGGCTTTGACGTAGCTTCGTCGTATTTGACTAAAGGAAAGGAAAGCGAAATATTTCACATTTCCACTACTGTAAATCGAATAATATGTTAGTAAAAATATCATGTAATACGTGTTTTAAATTCGTCTCGATGTCCACAAAAAAATGGTAAAAAAGAAAATATGTGTTCCTATTTGTAAAACCCAAGGTGACTTCGATTTCGCTATGAAAACAAACTGTTCTCGAAATTTTTTTTACTGATATCTATTGTACACTCCATACCCTGCAACTCTTGTTCTGAACTGTCTTTTGTCAGATGGCTGCAAGTGGGTGAAAAATCGTGCGTCGCGTTAGGGGTAACACCCTGTATATGTACATATGTAGGTTGAAATTAGAACCAAAAAAGTATAGTTACTAGTAAAGTGACGTTAAAAAAGTAAAAATATTACACTTATCTAAGTAAGTAAAATTGTGAAAAATTATTCTCTTAAAGAAGAATTTACTTTCTTGGAGAATATAGAATATTCTTTGGTAGTATCAATGAAACTTTAATTGGAAGAAACATGGTATTAAGAAGAAAATTTAAATAGTTATTACAAAACTTGTAATTATACTCTTGCATCACAACTAAAGGAAGGAAAAATGATTTTAATAACGGACACTACAATGCATGAAAAATCTGTTTACAATTGTTAGAGCTCCCTCTTCGAGCTCCAACGGTCAAGATATCATTGCAATTACGAGTATTTATTCCAGCGTTACTGACACATGGTTATAAATTATTTGCTTCGCGATATAATTATTCCAACGATAAGGTATAATACATATTGTGTATTTATATGTATAGCAGCCAGTGCTTTGATCTCATTAATTTAATCTGAAGTTTCGACATGAAATCTTTAAAAACGTTAAGTGTTGTATCTATGTACATAACATGTCGTCTTTTTATAACACATATAGTAACTAAGCAAAACCAAACCAATCACTGAAATTTCCAACAAAAGTGATATTTATTATTATATAAAACGAAAGGAAATAAAAATAGACAGTGCTAATACCTTCCTTATTGTCTTAGGAAATGCAAACAATTTTTCAATATTTAAAATGTGTTCTTCTTAGGTTGCAATATATAAAATTCATAGAATCAGCTTTGCACCGCAATATCTTTTTACTTTAATATCTTGTCCATAAGTCTTCTTTCAACTATATTTTCAGCTAGTTTTGTTTAGTAATCTTGTGGAATTTGGTTACACTGCTCTTTAACTCGAGCTATATATACAGGGTGGACCACGAAACGTGATTACCTTAAATTATTTTGTTACTAGTGGACTGATCGAATTTTTTCTCTCAAAAGAGATCCCTTATGACGGCTATACTATACTTTTTATCAGTTGTTTCTTTCTTTCAAAGTTTCCAAGGTCACTTTCAGTTTTCTGTTGATAAATGCAGATCTATCGTAGAAAGAAGTTGATCTTGAAAACGTAAAAGAAAAATAACCGATAAGAAGCATACTACGATTACCTTACGAGTCGCTTTGAACCATATTACGTGATACAAAAATATTTTTGATTGATACAGTAATAAGAGGATAATTTAAGGTGATCACGTTACGCGTGATGGGGCATTTAAATGGAAACTCCTAAACATCTCCGTTATTAATGATCGTATGAAAAAACTCCGAAGGACAAAGTTATACCGTTTAGAGGGGCACATGCAATGGCAGATGAAATTTTTTCTCAAAGTAATTTTTTTTTTGAAATTTCAAGGTCATCCAAGTTTTTTTTTTTAACGAGACAATATATTTTCATCATAACGGCATGATAGCTGAGGTCAAGATGAATCCAACGTTCTAATACTATGACCTTCACGTGACCTTGAGTACAAAAAGTTCATAAAAGTTGGGCAGTTGATGCAAATAGTGAAATAACTACATGATAGATATATCGACGAAGGAAAATTTATTTCAACAAGTGCTCGAAATAATGTCCATCAATTTCAATATAAAGATTCTAGAAGATCTCATAAAGGATGAATTAAACTCAAGTCTTCCTTATGTTTCCAGTGATGTACTATTACTTGAATCTTGACTAGTATCAGTAAACACGTTTCTTGTAGCCTCAGTGTAAACTTCTGATTAAGACAAATTGTAAACATTGACACATAAGTTTCTCCTTGTTAAAATAAATTTTTGTACTTTGTACTCGGGAGTTCTTTCGTATGACAATTAATAACATAGATATGTAGGTATTCCCCATTTAAATGGGGAATACCTACATATGTATCTGCGTTACTAGATAATATATATATTTTTAACTAGAACGACATATTTTTGTTATCTTTATGATTATTACACTGAGCAATATTCAAATGACTTCAGTGACATATAATCAGGTGTTATTTAAACTAATAAAAGTCTCTGGCAACTCATTTAGCTTAAGATAAATATGAAAACGTAGTATTTACAGATTGGTCGTGTTATTTTTAATACTCTTTAAATATTCAGTTAACTTTGCTTTTTATCAAGTAAATATTTTCACTTACTTCTTCGTTATTGTGTCCGTAGTATGGTTGCTTGCCGAAGGAGTAGACCTCCCATAAAACAACCCCGAAACTCCAGACATCACTTTCCAACGTGAAACGTCCATACATTACGCTTTCTGGTGACATCCAACGAACTGGTAGAAGCCGGGAACCCCCTATCTGAAAACAATGGAAAAATTCTATTTTTAATAATTGATATATTTATTTCATAAATGTCTTTACTATCTACCTTGTAGTAATCACAAGTGTACACATCTCGCGACATCCCAAAATCCGCTATCTTAACAATGAGATCCGAACCAACTAGACAATTTCTGCAAGCCAAATCTCGATGGACGAATCTTTGACCCGATAAATAACTCATACCAGCTGCAATCTGAATTGTTATCCAGTGTAAAGATTCCTGGAACACGTACAAAAGTATTTCGGTAAACGAATCATCCAGACTGCACGAAAAAATATTATCCTTTAGTAGAAATTTATTTTGCAAATTATCAGTCGAATTTAGACTACTTCTTGAATAGTAAAGGCAAACTTGATAGGGAAAACTGCTGATACTGGTTTAATTGTTCGATTAAATCTTATTAAGAATGCGATAAATAAAAGCATTCTGTTTTCGTGCGATAGGTTCAGCCTATAGTTGAGACTAAATATTACGTTAAAATTCATGAAATATTCAACGACAGCGCAAGCAATACACCTTCTTTCATAATATTAATTACGAAAAATAACATCACGCCTATATTCTCCGTATGCTGCTACAACTTATGCTATCTGTGAAAATGTAAGAAATTGCACCAAATCTGATCGGCTGTTTATCTGTAGTTACCAACTTCGTACACTGTCGATTAAACACATGTGCGTTATTAATAAATGAATATTTCGTGAAAAAAATTCGTTATTGAGAAACATTATTATACGAGGTAAATCGTGAGTCGGTACTGTTAGTTAATATTTCAGCTAAACGTACCTGAGTTAACGGTTGCAACCCGGGTTTCGTCGATCTAAGTTGCCGGGAATTCGATCGCAAAACTTCAGCAAGATCTCCGTGAGGCATGTATTCGAAAACCATCCACGGACTATTATTACCTTCCCTCAGCACAACTCCTTTCAGAGATAGAATATTTCTGTGCCCAAATGTGGACATGATATCGACTTCTCGCATAAAGTCTTCTTCAGCTTCACGCGAGGCTGAGTCTTTCAGAACTTTTATCGCAACGATTTCCTTTGCGTCTCCGGTGCATAATTCGCCTACGAAAATGAATTCTGCATTATTAATTGCTGCTAAACAGTTCACTTAAAGCGATTCTACGTCTTGTCACTTTTATTGATAGCGTATTTACGAAATTATACCATTCAGAGGGACATGTTTTCAAGGAAAACAGCTAGATTATTTTGTGTAATTTCAAAATCGATCATAACAATTTACAGTTTGGTTACATTCGGTACATCGAAAAAGAAGAAAAGAAAAAACGTGGCGCATGTGACACTTTTGTACATACAACAGTATTTAATCTCACGATATGTTATTTAATCTTTATCAAATTTCTGGCAAAAAACCAGATCGAGTTTTTTTTTTAAATAATAAAAATTACATCCTATTTCAGTTATACCACACTGATCGGTCTTACAAATGAAGATTATGTTAAACGAAAATTATAAGACGTGTTATAATCTTTCCAAGCGGATTATGTTTCATTCATACCTTTGTACACTTTTCCAAAACACCCTTCGCCGATATCTTGTAAAAATACAAGAGATTCGCGTTGCAGAATCGGCACTTCCGGCGATGCACAACTGAAATACTGTGGATTAGGTGTGTATTTATTCGCTAGCAGCAATCCCTTTTTCAGATTCATCGGTGTTCCCTGAAGAGAACATATGCAAACTATTTTCATAACAATTTCATTATTCATAACAAGATCATTGATATACTTTTTAATAGTAATTTACAGACATTCGATAGAAAAGAAGTTAATATCAACACCATTGTGCACATACAAAGATTTAAGTCTTCGATAATTTACGCCCTATTAAATTTCAAATTCAAACGATTCTGATTTCTTCAATTTCTTTTCAACGCATTAGTGTTATTATTATTATTGTTGTTATTATTATTATTATTCATGTTAACTTTTGTATTCACAATAAATACAACTGTACCGATACATGGAGGAACACAAACAGTAATAAAAATGGTTAATTTGAAAATTGTAGTTAGAAATAATTTTTTGCCTGTTTCTAAAATATCGAATATGAATGTATAATGTAAAAATAATAAAACATTTCAATATGTCATCGTTACGTTCTAAGATGATGTAAAACTAAGAAGAAATGAAATAAATAACTGAAAGTACTCTTTGCTCTTATTTTGAACTATTCACTGTATTTAATAAAAGTTGAGATAAACAATAATTTAGGTGATATTATATATATATATGTATGTGTAAACAAGATATAACAAAAACATAAATAAACGTTATGCTGTATTTTTTTTTCTTCAACCAGTCATAATCTAAATATCAAAGTTTGATTATTATCGTTTGATTATTAAAATTATTTTTCTATCCAGACAAGTATAAAGCTGTTATTATGACTCCTTAGGAAATATATGAATGTACTCAAAGATGTTATTGCATTTATTATTATTGTATTTATTGCATTCAAAGGTGTTACATTAATCGTGAAAGCTTTGTAAGCGTTTGAAATTATTTTAATGTCTAACGTTGCTTTTGAATTTCCTTGTGAACAACAATTTTAGCATTACGCTAGTTTTGAAGAGGCGCTGTAATATGATTTGACTGACGTACATCCAGGGAATTCCTTTGCGATTTGACGTTATAACTCCGTTTCTTCACACAGTACACTATACTCAACAATATTGCTAATACTGCAACGAAAGCTATGACAATTCCTATTATCTCGGGCGCCCTTTGCTTCGATCGCTCTACCTGTTGGACAATATGAAAATACTACAAACTATGTTTGTAGAAGATTGTACGAATGTTCATCGGTTCATGCACAATACTCAAAATAGTAAGTGAAAATAGATACCTGTTCAGCTTCGGGAAGTGCTGTTGTACTGTTGGTAGAATTACCATTTGGGGGTATTATGTTGGGGATAGGTCGAGGTGTTAGCGGAACTAAAAAAATAATGGAAATAAGATTTCTAACCAAGTGTATTTTCGAGTTGGAAATGTTATGTTTTTTTTCGATGAAATATAGTGAAATGTTTATTTAATCCTTTCGCTGTAAGAAAGCTAATTCAAGAGTATGTATTATATAAAATTGTATTTGCTAAACACCAGAATTGTGGAAAATATTTTTATTCCTCTTCAAAATATGCGGAAATTGTAACTAAATATAATATAATCTAAAGGCATATGTACATGATTACTTCACAGGTGATTAATTGTTAAAACATGGCAGATACGTAACATTCAAAGAGAAAGAAAGTTATTGTAAATGTTAACTAATAGTTGCGTTTAATGGTCTCAATTATAATAGATTGAAGAGAAGTTAGAAAATTTTGTATCTTCATAAAGAAATCAATAAAACGAAACGAATGGAATAACATCGATAATTATTACAACTAATAAATTCATCATAATTGAAGCCGCTATTTGAAAAATCCCGAGATGTAAATCGTTTATTTTTTTAAATCATTTAAAGGCTTAGACAAAAATGGCTTTCAATCGGCTGACGATAATAAAAGAACAGGAAACGTTAAAGATTGCATCGATTATTGTTTGAAAAGTGTTGCATGACAATCACAGAACGTGAGGAAGATTCGGCAGTTGGCACGTTCACTGCCACCGGCGCAGCATATGCGGTCCAGAATCTATTGCTCGGCGTGTCATCGATTTTCTGGTGTTAGCGAACGTATTAAAAACAATTAAGGACTATGACCGCCATCGTCATGGAAAGGGAATAGACAAAACGAAAGTAAGCGAGATGGACGTAGTGATACCGTACCTAGATAGGGATACCGTTACCATGGCAATGAATCATCCAATATCAAAAATTTCAATTTCTCTAATTCCCATCTTATCTTTACGAAAATAGTACCAATGAACTGGTGAGATTCTCCCGATGAAAATGAGTCCAAACACAACATATATTAGAGTATAAGTTCTACCATTCGCCAAATTAAGAGCGATTAGGTACTGTTAAGACTAGTCCGATTTATGTCACGTTTGAACTCATTTTCATCGGAAGAATCTCACCAATCCACTGGTACTATCTTTACAAGGATAGGATGAAGATTATAAAAATGAATACCGGTGGATTACTCATCGAGCGCACGAAATTATCATTCCGATCTATTATCGACTGCTCATCTGTTACAGATTGTTCGCGCGAAGCTCAATTGGCGCCTATCGCTTAAAAGAAGAGTAAGTGCGACAGCATTTATTCTATCGTCATTGGCTGACTATTAGCGTAAACGTAAGAATAAGTGCAATAGCCTTACTCTGCCGCTATTGGCTGATTAACGTCGGGACGTCACAATTTCTCCTGCATCTCCCACTTCTAGACCTTAACTCCCGCCTGAAGTTTCATCTTTGCTTCGTTCAACTGTACATTATCATTTTTCTCTGTCTAATTTAATTTATTCCAGAACGATAAATAACGAGCCAATATGACGATTTTAGTAGCAAAAGGATCAAACAAACGTGCTTTTATTTAAAGAAAAGTATTGAAATAACATTTGACTTGGACCTATCAGGCGGTTTGGACATTTCAAGTCCGCCGTTGGTGGGGACAAGTCGTGCGGACAGACACACTTGGACCTTTTGTCGCTGAAGCTACGGCAGGCTGCTTCTTTTCCACAAATGTGAGGTCGATCTTTGCATCCTGTGATCTCGGAATTCTCGTTGATAGGCAGTAGCCTCTCTATTACTTCCGATTGTTGAGTGGACGCGCTCGCTGATAATTCTGGAACAATATTTATGTGTTATCTGAACTGTGTCAGTTTGTAGTGACTGTATCTAGCCAGTCTACTGGTAAACAAAAATCACTTTATCTAGGATGAAATGTTCCTGGGATAAATGGATATCGCGAAAATCGGAGAATCATTGAATACACATATATTATCAAGTGCTTCAAAGGGAATGAACCTTAATTACACAAAATATTGTTATCTAATAACAGTTTCGTCGCTAATAAAGAATTAAATTCGTTATTGTTACAATCACAACGATAGTGTGTACTTTGGAATCTGATTTACTTTTTAATTCAAAGCTAATACTTCGAACATCCTTTGGAAGAATATTTATAAAATTTACATCAATTTTGTTCTCAAAAGAGCCTCTCGCAGGGCTTCTAGGGAAGAGAATTAGGGAAGATAACTGTAAGAGTTCGTGAACTAGTACCGTTTCGAAAGCGCTGAAATGAAAGCAAACTTGAAGTAAAACAGTCGAATTTACAGGAGCACGGTAGTAACGGTTAATAGAAGAGTAGCTGGTCAGAAAAAGGGTTACATATTTGGATTGGACCCGACTTGGAAGAGACAGTGAAGGCATTCATTTCGTGCTTGAAGCTTGTAACGGGTCAAAGCGTTATCTCTGCGGTCAGCGCTCCCCGACAACGAGTCTCGCTATGTGTACCTATTATCGCCCCGTATTCCCTCCCTCCCTATGTATCTCTACGAGGATTGCCGTATTCAGAAGATTGCTTGATTTCTAGAAAATGTTCCTACGTTTTGATTTTCCCGAAAAACAAAGGCTCACTCAACAGGATAAATCGTATCTAAGAGGCGTTACGTAGAAACTGACCGCGATCTCTTCCATGCGGATGGAATCGGTGAAGTATAACGCAGTATGTACTCCTTTACAGCTGTATGCAAGAGGGTCTAGGGACATTTTGTTGACCTCTAAAGCTTTCTTTCCAATGTATTGGATGATTGGAGAACGCCAAAGGTGGCGAGAACCTTATCGACTTCGGCAGAGATGTTTCTTTTAGCGTAATGTTACGTTCCTATCGAAAGATACACCGCTTGTGTTTTATTTTCAAATAATTATTCATTTCGTTCCATTTCAGCTTCAAACGAAATCTGCTGTTGCACACACCGATTGTGTTTTATTTTTAAATCGGGCACGAACTTTTGCAATCATCCAATGGTATGTTATATTTTGTGAAAAGCGACGAAATTGATTGCGATTTTTAATTCTATAAGTTAAGATGAAAGAACATGGGAGATATGTACTTCCTTTTTTAATTTTCATATTTTCTTCTTAATTTGTGCCAACTGTACTAATTGGAGGAAATAAGGGGTTAATTTTAGTCACATGTAGCAATAATCGACGCGTAATATGCGTTACATTAGAGAGATCGATTGTATAATGTAACTTTTAATTTTTTCAAACAGATATTTATAAGAGTACTGTGCAGTAATATTGTGTGGAAATGTTTAACTAATGTTAGAAAAGTTAAAAAAAGAAGAGAAAAGCAGCACGAAATTTGCAAGTTATATACATTGTTTTCTAACGTTTCAACTGTAACAGGTTTTCAGTGAATTTCGCAACAGTTCAGAAACGCTATATTAAAAAGAGCTTTCCAAATTTGTAAACTTTTAGATGCATAAAAAATTTGTTCGCTCTCTGTTTACATAAAGAGATGAAAATTTCTCACGGAAGATATGGAACGCTGAAATCGTAAGAGAATTCTTCAACAAAGTGTTTCAATAAAACTGTAACTAAAAGTGATAGACATTAGAATTGACGCATCTGATAACGAGGGTTCCAGAAAATTACAATTCAGACAAAAGAAGGGCTGTTTATCAAACAGACATGCGGAAGTATCTGAACCTATAATAATTGTAAATCAGGTTCTACCGAGTTCGAAGTTTCCCCTTTTATAACGAGAACTTTTATTTCAACGACGTATCAACTTTTCAACTCTGTTACCTACATTATTAATGACCTCTGCACTCTGTTATTGTTCGTAATACGTGGAAACTGTGGATGGGTGAACGAATGACCCGCGATATCATGTACACTTTACTGCACAGTCACGAGGAAACTACCCTTACCGTGTTTTTTTTATCAGGTTCACGTTTAATTGTGTTAGATAATTTATAGTTGTACGACTCGAAAGACCTTATCAAATTATTTTACTTTTACATGACGTGTTTAGAAGCTTAACTTTTTTGTATTAATTATTTAAGCGAATGTGTGCACTTTTACTTGATTAATTTATCGAACGGAATGATTTATGACAATTTTGTGATATAAAACTTTGCTACATTTCTTGCCTTCTCTTTTTTAATACTATCATATTAGAACGGTTGAAATAATGGATAATTTCAATATTTTCTTGAAATTCAGTTAAAATATACGTTTGTGTAGCGTGTACACACACAAAGTTGTATAATTTTTGTATCAATATTTAAAATAAAACATAATTTATCAGAAATTATAGGGAAATAAAAACAATATTAGTCATAATACAAGACATTCAGCTAGCTTTTATGAAATATATTTGTAATGTTTGAATAATGAAATTTGAAGAAGTTATTATTTGAAATTTATTATTAGAAATTTAAGAAAACATTATGTACTTATTACGGCCACGTATACACGAAGTTAGGAGTACAGATTATGTGTAACGCCTTGTCAATGCTTAACTTTCCTGATCACTACATTATTAGTGATTAGTAATATACTATTAATATAGTATATTTATTTTTTACATTAATGATATAATTACTGAAACATCAGTATTGACCTAATAATAGAAAAATATGCAGTTAATGAATGGTTAATTTAATTAACTAAATATCAGTGTCAAGCTGAAAAAGAACTAAATTTATATGTGTAACATATGTAGCGTTACACGATAACTGTATTTTTGGCCTTGTTACGCAATTCAAGAACTTGTTAACTAAAAATACCATTATAATAATATTTTTACTATCGTTTCAACACTTTTAGAAATTGAAGGGCATTCAATGGAGATATACACATTCGGTCTCGTTTATTTGCAAATCTGAGGTTCAGACCTGAGACTACAAAAGGAGCATTATGTGTACGGATGGGTTCATCTCCCGAAACATACGATTCACAAGTGAATCGCCCGTCATAAAACGAGATTGTTCATGATATGTTCTGAATACTGACAAGAGTAGTTTGGTTATCAAGTCATTTGAGATAATAAATCTACTGTCTTTTGATATAAATGCATTTTTTAAAGACAAGATAATGGAAAAAATGTTAATTGGATGCATTCAGCTAGTTTCTTCCAACAGAAGGAACATGTTTACTTCAACAATAACAAACAAACTAAAATTAATAAAAATTTCATAATAAAGAAATATAGGAATACATTATAGGTCCTTAACAAACACACATTTTACTGTAGGTACCTATTAGAGGCTCGTTAGACACTGCTCGCCAAAAAAATTACAGAAGCTAGAAATTGGGGTTACAGAAATCTGGAACTCACGTATGTTCTTCAGGATACACTGAGAAAAAAAATTAACTTTTTAATAAATAAGACCCTTTTTAACCAAATTTTAATCATTTGTCCCTTTCAATACCCCAAACAACATATACAAATTTCAGATTTGTGTGATTTCATTTTTAAGGTGTTGCAATTTTTCAGCGAGCAGTGTAGATGAAATGTAGGAATTTTACGAATATATCAGGCTGCCCAATAAGTTCACGCGGTTCCTTATGAATCTGGAAATTTTATTTTTTTCAAAAATACTTTATAACGTTTAATTTGTTATTATATTCTCCTCCATTGTTCGTAACCATCTCCCAACGTTCTGGTAGGTTTTCAATTCCATGTTTGAAAAATTCGGTGGGATTTCAACTTAAACCAATTTGCAACCCAGTTTCACAATTCCGTATTATCCTGGAAGTAAATTGAACTAAGCATTTTGAAAAGGACGGAAAATGTAATAGTCCGTTCGAGTAAGATCCAGCGAGTAGGAAAGATGTGGAAGAATCTCCTATACAAGGTCTTGAATGACCATTTTCGTTAAATTTGCGACGTGGAATCGAGCGTTATCATAGTGAAGGAGCACCCCACGCCGCCGATTCGGACGTTTTCGACTGATTGCTGCATCCAGGCGGCAAAGCTTTTACCCCTTTTCCATCATATTAAGATGGTTGAGCATTGCTTGAGGTGAGATATCTATCATTTCAGCCAATTAGCGAGTTTATCGTCGCGGATCTTCACGAAGCAAAATTCCTAAACGCTCTTCATTAAAGCCACATGGTCGTCCAGAGTGTGGCTCGTCATTTAGGGTGAAATTGCCATCCTTAATATGTGAAAACCTCTTTTGTACCGTTCTCGCGAGAACATAAGATTTACCATATTACCGTTTTTATTCATTTGAGAATCCATCGTGTTTCAACTGACGCTTTATTATTATAATACTAATGCGAAACGAAAAATTTCACAACAATTTTGCTATAGCAAAACTAAAGCTATCGAATATGAGCCACTCAGAAGCCTAGGTGACTAACTCAATAAAATAGAATTTATTAAATTTGTTTTATTTATGAAAAATTAAGCACCCAGCATAGGCTTCGATATTATTTACAATTGGACGAATATCAAAAAGTGGAGTTAATCATCTTCAGAAAGCGAAAAATGTTTTAATGACATAATAGTCTTACCGAAAAAAGTAGGAAAAAATTGTGGAACGAAAAGGCGCTTATGTTTTCTTTTTTTATCAAATTTAAAGGTTTGTTGTTCGACACGAATTTATGGGATAACTTAATACATTGCCAACAGACAATTGTCACCTACTGGAAGAAATGAAAGCCGCACGAACTTATTGGACAATGTAACTGTTAAAACGGGCGTTAAAACATTCACTGATAGCTTAGAAATTTACTGAAGACTAGTTGAGAAATGTACATAAAGTAACGTCAAAGTAGATGTCGAAAGAAAAGAATTAAGGAAGTATGGAACTCCATTGAAAGCACTTTCACAAAATTATTAGTTTAAAATGTGGATCATCGATACAGAAGTTATTAACGCAATATTAGCAGAGTGAAACATTAGACTGGAATAATGTAGTAGGATATGAATACTGATAAATGTGTTGTTAATGTTGTATACAGGGTGTCTCACAGGTTTCCGTACAAATTCTGCCCTTGAGATCTACAGCTAAAATTAGGATCAAACTCTCTACTAAGAAGTTATAACAAAAATATGAAACGTGAAGTAAACCCTGCACTTGAGTTTATCGATACAAGCCTAATGTCGATGTAACATTGAATTTATTGTAGACGATTTTAATTAATTTCGTCAAATGAAATGTTGATTCTCTTAGTTAATTCATTTCGAGTACATACTTCCATATTGTAAACTTATTCTTTTACAATCGTCTATAAGCAAAAATCTAGAGGTGTGAGATCAGGTGACCTAGGTGGCCAAGGGACTGGTCCACCTCGACCAATCCATTGTTGGGAATAGTGTTCGTTAAATCAATTTTTACCTGCTCTACATAATGTGCTGGACACCAATCTAATTATAGTTAATCATGTTTCATATATTTACTACAACTTTTTAATAAAGCATTTATGGACTTTTTTTTATAGGATATTTTAGTTTCTTTCTTGGCTGTAGAACATACTGGAAAAGTCTGTACGGACACTTTGCTTATATATAATCCCATCGCTTATTGTAAATATAAAGTTATTTTCAATTTAATACATATGTACACATTTCATGTAATGAAGATTTTAAATGTATGTAAGTTTTTCAATCATTTTAAGATCAACTACACAGGGCGATTCTAGCAACTGGGCCAACTTATAGCTCTGTCTTCAGTAAAATTAGAAAAAAATCGTAGAGGAAAAGTTTTGCAATATTTAACAAGCTCTACCATGCTATGCTATAATTCTTTTTGGAAAGTGGAATTGCACTTCTTTTTTTTTAATGGAACTGCCTTTTTCACGTAGATCGACTGTTCGGAACATTCCGCATATAAAAGTATTAGGATATATCTAATGTTAGAAAAATGAATACTTCGTGTGACATTTCAAATTTTTTATAAGACGTATGTTTCGTTGAGGATGCATCGGCAGAGCGTTTGAACATCTTGAGTGAAACATACGTCTTATAACAATTTGAAATATCTCACGATGTACTGATTTTTCTAACGCTACAAAATTAATAAGCTTAAAAAATTAATCTACGTAAAAAGAATGAAATTCCACTTAGGAAAAAGTGTAATTGCACTCAAGGGCGCATTTACCATAAGGCGCATTAGACGCAATCCAGGACCTCTTCTAGGGACTTCATTGAATGAACAGTCTATTTTTATAGAAAGATAAATACTTCCTTGTTTTGATTCATGTACAATATTAATGCGCATAATACTAAAACGCACATTTAGTCCAGTTTATGTTTCCGAAAAGGTAAAAAAACATGAGTTTAATCTTGAGAACTCTGGTATGTATGCGTAATTTGGAAATATTCTGCACATTTCAGATGAAAGTTGGAAAATTACTGCACGCGGTTCAAACTTAAGGCCAATTTTTCTCCAATATTGTCAATTTAATATTTAAAACCCTTATTGGAGATTATTTCTTCATCGGGGGCTTCACTGGGGCCGCATTTTAACACCTTACTCCTCACAAACAGCAATATAACAAACAGCGTATTTATAGCTGCAAAATAAAATACTTATTTGTAAGCATTAAATTGATAATATAAAAACAGGAGGCCGTTGAGAACGGAAACACGAAATTCATTTAAGCCTTCTTCTTTTGAGGCCTCGTAATGATGTTGCGCCTAGGGCCTCCAAAGGTATAAATGCGGTCCTGATTACATTTTACGAGTACACCAATGCACTTCCGAAAAAATCATGTTATAGGGTGCTAGAGTTTGTTAAAGAGTGCAAAACGAGTTTTTTCCAACTTCGCTTGGAACAGAGCTATAGTTTGACACAATTGCTAGAATCATCCTGTATATCCACGAAAACTCCGAAAAGTATAATAGGGTGAGTTATGACACACAAAGGATTAATATGACGATGAGCAATCCGCTTTCTTTTCTTTCGTCGATGTATCACCAGTTTTACCTGCTTATACTACAGGTAATACCAAACAAACAATGGTTCGAATACTGCCTCGACAATGCCTTTCTGCACCTAAATTCATATTACTCATGGTCGTCTATTATTTTCGAAATGACAAATTGCTGGAGATACTGGAATTTAGAGATACTGGGGATGCTTGAGATACTAGAATTGCTTCACAGCTATAGAATTATTTCGTAATCTCAAGAAAAATTTGTCATTTCCAAGTTACGTTCATTCTTACAAAGTGAAAATAAGAGATTTTGCAAATGAGGCAACTATTATATTTATGAGTAACAGTTCTAAATTAGATACCTACAAAAACTTAGCTTAATTAATAATATGCTATTATACTGCTTCATATTTTTCTTTAATAATTGTATATTTTCAAATGTCCAGTGTTTGCATAGTTGTTTTCTAATGTAGCAGTATGAATTAAAAAAAAATATGAAACGCTATTTTAAATTCAATTAATTCCTTGCAAGAAATTATTAACATACTTATTTTTTCATACATATCTATAAATTTCATAGTCCATTGTAGTTTATACAATATGTTACTGCATCATAAAGAACGAAAGTAGCATGTTTTATAAATGTTCATTTCTGAAAATGTATGTAACTGCAATTAATTTATGATTGTTAATTCACGTTTGTACAATTGTTTATCAGACTTTACTGTATACGTATTCTGAAGTATTCTTAAAAGAGTATTTAGTTTTGTTAAAAATATTGATTTATACATTTCTATATTGAAACACAATTTTTTAATTCTTTCATCTTAAGCATGTTTGAAATCCTTAATAAATAAAATTTCATCTTGCCATATTCAAGCAAATACAATTTTTCCTAATATTTTTACAGGTTAAACTTTTTTCTAATATTAAACATTTATAAATATTAAAAAATTTCATACGTGAGCTCAGTAATCGTTTACTTTACATATGATTATTAAGGAAGCTTCTTTAATACTACTCGAAGATTTGGATGCTGCACACGTGGTTATCATCTTAGGTCAACGTTATCGGAAGGTCGAACATGTCGATATTGAAGATAAGTTAAAGTCAGAAAAATAGGAGTTAGTTTTTATGGCTATTTTTTCGTTCCTTTTTTTCTGCTTTTTCGAAGCAGTTGACATTTGTTCCGATAGAGATACGAATAAAGCTGACCTTATCTTTTTGTTATTTTGACTCGTACTTCTTCAACCCATTTCGTTTCTAGGGTATTTATGAAACTATGCCAGAAGGAATTCTGTGCGGATGAAGTATTTACTCTATTAGATAGATTCAGATACAAACTTACAAGGTTTTTACATTCGTTTCCAATAAATTTGTTAATAGAATGTTTAAGCAGCAACATATTTATAAGATGAATGAAAAAAATTGCGAAATAAAGGAAACAAATGCTAAATTTAAACTATAATCGTTGAACTGCAATCATACGGTGTTAAAACCGTGAATTTATGCAAAGTTATCGCAATACATACACACTTTCGCCTCTTGATAACAATCATTCATAATATGCAAATTAATATCTTTATTTATGACTATGGGACACAAGTTTATTCCTGAAGTTTATTCGATAAACTCACCGGTTCGGGTTTCTGCAGAGACAAGACCTCTTCTTCTTGGCATTCGTCGCCGTTCCATTGCGAGTCCAGGAATCGAAATACTTGGAAATCACGTCTACTTTATGAAAACTATCGTTTTGCACTAGCTTAACTTGCACTATATCGTTAATTACCATTGACACTCTAACGTTCGTACTTTTTCATGATCCATCGTGAAACTCTGAGCTTTTAAGAGTCAACGTAGCCATTTAAAATTCAAATAAAATAAAAAAGAACTACACAACAATGACGAACTGGTTCACATTTTATTACACCGACTGGACCGCACGTAGACTAGGATGCTAATGAGTTTGTTCTTTCAAAACTAGGAAAACTAATTAAAGCACAAAAGCAGTTAGCCCCTGTGTGTATTCATCGTGTTAATTAGATTGCTTATCACTTCCAATTTCCAATGGTGTAATTCCGCAAAAAATAGGGAATCATTTGAAACATACTTTCTCTCAAATTTCATCACGGCTACTGGACAATCCAAACGATGCAAATTTCGTTCAGGATTTAAAAGTCCCGAAACCATCGGTGAAATTACCCATTAATCGTATCGTCGGTAAATTGCACTTTTATTGTAAAACAATGGTGAACGTATATATATCCAGCAAGGATGATGAGAGAAACGCGGACCAAGGGCAAAGGAGTGAGGAATAAGGGCCGCAGAACGAAGAGTTAAGCCGGAAGAGGAAACCCGTTGCTAGGATGAATCGAGGAGGGTTCTCTATCTTCGACGGATGCTTACTCGAAACTAAAGACCGACTAAAGACCGCCTTCGTGAACTCCCTCGCACTGGCGTACACAAGGGAACGCGGTCACGCAATCACAACCAACCATGTTCATGGCACGCACACGCATTTTGAACGGGGACCAAGGATTTACGCGAGGAATGAGCATGGTTCATCATCGGCGGGACTCGACCTACGCTATCGGAGTGGCAGAAGCGACGGTTCCTCGTAATCTCGTCGCTTTTTCAGCCGACTTAAGGGTAGAGCCTCTTGTTGTGCTTTAATCTCCGACACGTGCCAACTTACGACTCCTCCTTCGTTTGAATATTATTTTTGTGGCACTTCGATTCTATCGTGGACTATACGCTGAGAATTTTAGATCTCGGTCGGTAGCAGCCATTCCATGTCAAGTCTCACACTTTTTGCCACTAGGTAGCTGATTTTTTTTCAAATTTAATTATTGCTAGGCATGGGAAACCAACTTCTATGCAATTTTAGTCTTCTATGTTGAACGGTTTGCAAGATATTCGATGTCAAAGTGTTGAAAAATCGAGTAAAATAGGCTGACAAACCATCGTTTCGCCCTTCAATATTTCTCGATAGCTAAGAGATATTAACTTTTTCTTGGGGTCACTTTAAAGGGAAAGGAATGCTCTTTCTAATTATCGTTGCTAATAAGAAACAATATTCGATGTTAAAAATTCTATATCAGTTTTGACGCTGTTCTACCTCACAGACTTATTTAAAAAAAATACTAGTTAATTCTTGGAAGTTTCCTCTACGAAATAAGCTTTTACGAAAATGATGGAGCAATTTCGGGAACCTAGAGAAAGAAAATCGAAATCGTGACAGCCACCAACTTATAAATCAATAGGTAGAACGCATGACACTAAATTATTTTTCAAACGATTCTCATTTTGCTCCCAGTTTTCGGACTGACGAATTTTATCGGACAATGTTTGGAAGTGTTACTTTTTTCTAAACAATGCCTAGCAAGTACAACCGTGACTGCGATTTAAATTTCTCACATAGTAAATTTCGCATAATAAATAGAAAGCGTATCAATTCCTTTTAGTGACAATATATCAATTATAGTGATTTCATACAGTTAATAATATAATATACAGAATTATAAACCGCATAAACACAATCCACAGATTTTATGAATAACTAGAAACAGCAAACTTAGTTACCGATGTATTTATTACCATAGTAATTATAAACAAAATATTATTGTGCTTCAATGTTTTTCGCGTAATTTTCGATCGTATAATAGTAAAACGGTGATATAATTTTCACTGCCTCCATATTTTTCCACGTTACTTTCTGACGTGGCAGTGTTAGATATCTTCAACTCTATTTACTGGTTCGTAAAACAATAAACTTTAACAATAAGCTCTTCCCGCGGGTCACACAGGAATTCCAGTAATCTGCATTCTGGACAAAGGTCGAAAACTTAATAGGAACAAGGTCTTCTACTTATCCATTGTAGACATTACGCATTTTATATTTACTTATGCAAAAATTCTACAAAAACATACATAGAACTTATAAACTTTTCTTCATATTACAGCAAAATATTAGAACGTTATTCTAATTCGATAACAATCTATAAAAATTTTAATAAAACTTCTCGAAAAATCGAAACATGTAGGTATATTTTACTTACTTCTTATCTACGAATACTTTTTAAAGATATCTTTTAATTATGGTAATCGTAATTAATAAATTTTCCTCACATACCAGTGGTAAAAGGTACTAAAGTTAAAAAAAAAGAATATAATAAGTAGAGAATTTAAGTACAGTGGATTCTGGTTAATTGGGACGCCGGTTAAGCGGGACCGCCGTTTATTTGGGACAGATACTGAAGAACGGAATATAACTACGTGTTTATTTACTTATTTTTCATTACTTATTAATGTTATTTTATTACTTACTGTTAGCTTTGTTTGCATGCTTAAACACACATTTGTATTCAAGACCGAATATTACATACGTTTTTCAATAAATCGTTGTTAGCTTCATTTTTTACGTTGTTCAGATTTTGCCTGTTGAAATTCACTTTTTTTGGGACAGCCGTTTAATTGGGACAAATTAGTCCGGTCCCAATGTGTCCCAATTAACCGGAATCCACTGTGTATTGATTTTGGTACAACATATTTGTATGTAAACACTTTAGGGAGTTCTTTACAAATCGCATATGACAAATTAATGTCAACGGCGAAATCTCACGACGAAGTTAGAAAAAAGGGAAGGAGTAAAAAGAGTAAGCAAGTGAAGACTTGTTCGTATAAATATGCTTGCATATTACGCCACAAATAATTAACCAGTGTACATACATCACGATCAGTTTGATATGTACACTGGCATCCAACTGGGCGCCACTTTCCCCACTCGGTTTTGCTGTTCGTGAATAACTTGGCTTTTCAGTTTCTGATTGCGATAAACAAGTTAAACTGAGTCACGACTACGCAAACTCTTCCATGGATTCTTGCGTTTGTGTATCTAATCTCGATTAATCGGACGTGCATAAAAATTAGTTTTTCGTTCTGTTTCGTGTTATTTAGCGTCGCAGGCGTTACGTAAATTGAAGAAGAAAACATTGCCCGAGTTAGCAACATTCAAATATGAAATTATTTTCAGCGCGGAAGAAAGCTACGGTTTACATTGGTGTTACAAATAACGATTCAAATATTTCTAATGAACAAATAATATGGTTCTTAAAATACTTAATACAAACAAACGTAATATTTTCGATTAATAATAAAAAAAAGTAAAAATACCATTTTATAGGTGGAATAAAGATTTAATTTCAATATAAAGCTTGTAAAGCAGAATATAGTTTACACTGAGATTGTAATTAATTTGCAATGATAAATAATTTTCTCTTATATTTTTTTTTTATTTCCTTGTTTTCTATACCCTTTCTCTTATTTATTCTTTACCATTCTTTCATTTCTTTCTTTTTTTCAACAGTTTGTATAAATTTTTATACTTTTTACATGTTTTCCACAAGATGGATTATTACAATAATATTTTAGCGATGATACTACTGACTATATGTCCCACCTTGCTTTTAAATCTGTAAAACCATCTCGAGTAATAATATTATAATATATTTTCGTGTAGATTGATTGAAAGAAAACAACTATTGCTTCCTTGCAATGTACTTATCATTTTTCACTATACTTTCTCAGATTTTATTTTAGTTCAGCAGTATTAATGTAAAAACTTGTGCTAAAAACGTTGTATGTTTAAAGAATTACAAAATACTAGCAGTGATAATAATTGTGTGAGTTTGTTATAGGTTCGTCATCGCATAAATAGAAAAAGGATAAGAAAACGTTAAGATTACATATTTCTAGAATTGTACGATTTATCCATTTAATCCCGATGTACCACGAATAGAGTTCTTCCATTTCCAGCAAAAAAAAACATGAATATCCGGAACATTCGAAAACATTATTACAATCTCACGCTTTAACGCACTATTTGTTATGCTTGATAACACAGAAATCCACCCTCAAGGAGTAAAGTACCACTTTGAAATGACACCAATCTTTTGATGATTATAAGTGGACAGTGACCGTATCTGTGGTTGTTAGACCGACGATAGCTACCTGATTAAGTTCTTTAACATGTGCTATTTAATGCTCCTAAAGGACCAAAACACACTCGAATAGAAAGAGAAATGGGTCGAAACAGAATAATGCTCGACGAAGCAGCTACAGACGGATACGTTAATAGTTTTCAAAGAGGCTTCGTTAGAATGGCGTAAGTGTTGTATATTTACATTGACGTTACAGGCTTACACCTGGACGTAAGAATAGCGCCGTTTCTTTTTCTCGGAAGTATTTTCTCGCCTGTACGTCAAACGGAACCCTGACAAAGAGGATTTTCCATCTTTTTTTCCTTCTTTTTCATTCCTTTCAACCAAATTTTAAATATTTCAATACTTTTCAATATTTCTTCTAGCCAAATTTTATTATTACAGTAGTTCGTGACAATTAAAATTATAAAGCAAATTACTTTCGTCCAACGTAATTCAATGTAATTATTTATTACCTTTATTTCTCATTTCTCAAATATCCTATAGTTACCTTCGCTTTAATCGCGTCGAGTACTTACCATTGCGGAACTTTTACGAAATGGCATGTTTGTTAAGCGACTTAGTATCTTACATTCTAATTATTGATATCGAAATGACACCTTGCAAGTATAAAAATTCTTTGTAAAAATGTGCGAATCAGTTTTCTTCAAGTTTCTCCAGCGGAGGGTGTTCGCATTAATAAGGATTCTAAATATTTTTAAGATTTCCCTACGACCTGAGTATTTGGTTATAAATGTTCAATTTCGTTTCTACATTTAAATAATATGAATGTACATGGAAAGATTTAATTGTCTGCTCTAAAGTATTTTAAAGTAATGAAACGGTGCAAATGTTTCAATATTCCAGATATTCTTATTCACCTGATATTTTCAGTAATTTATCTATACGTCTTTACACGACCGGGAGTAAAAATATAGTTAGTAGACCAAGAAGACAGAAAGAATAATATTGCACATTTTACTTTCGAACGAAATCAGATTCAAAGAAAACATCAAGAGGGTAGTTTACACCCGCTTAACTTGCGGATCGTTGATGTTCTGGGGTACTGCAAAGGCCGGAACGATGTCGGTATGCGTGCAGATGGTGGTCATAAGAGGGGGTGATCTAAAATAATAAAGAAGCTGACATGAAGATGAGGAGTGTTTGTGTTTCCACAGATGATGGTCGATTCTTAAACGACGAAATGCAACTGGAAAAACGTATATTCGAAAGACAATACTTCGAATAACTCATAGTTATCGATAGTTTCCTGTACGCAACCGTTATTTCTTTTAGAATGAAAAAATAATAAACATTCTTTCTTCCTTTCTTCAATAAAAAAAAAAACATAGAA